CTCCTCCATCTCCATTGAGTCATCTCCTGAATCGATATCCCGGGTGAACGGGTCTTCGTCTCTCTGCTGTCTTTCTACCCGCACAATGGTCGCCCTACCTGTCGTCTCCTCTTCGGAGTCGTCCTCGTCCATCATTTCGTCTTCGTCCATTTCTTCTTCAAGCTCTTCTTCAGACGAACTCGACCGTACGAGCTGAGTATCCGGATCCAGAGGCACATCACTGTCTCTGAAACTGTCAGCACCTGTCGCCACCTGCTGCGCCACGTTGCCGGTGCCTTCACGGTGAAATTTGGCGCCAATAGGAACTGCGGCTTTTCGGTTCACCAGCTCCTGAACCATATTTTCCAGCGCTCGCTCTTCACGCTCGAGCTCGTCTAGGTCCTGAGCGTAAGCATCCGCCTCTCCTACACGGAACGCACCGTTACTGGCCCCGTAGAGCTCACTTATTCGCGGCGACATCGTCGGGAACTTCGAGCCGCCGAACTCCATGATGCGATACGCTTTTTTAAACGATTTTTAAAACCTTTTTAAATCGATATATTTTTAAAACCTTTTTAAATCGATATATTCAAACTCCCATTCAAATACGTTTTCATGTTGAAGTGGATGATCAACTTTTTTTTTTTTGCTACTAAGTAGACAAGAAGCACTTCATTCGGTCAGCTTTCTGTCAGTATAAAATAGTGCGCGCTCTGCAACATTTGGCCCGATGCGCACATACGAAAAAATTAGGGCGTTCAGAGTGGCAGGTCCTGCTTACGCTGCCGGGTTTGCCGATGTCGAGGCAATGAGCTGACTGGTGTTGCGTCGACCAGAGTGGACGCCGACGCTGTATACCAGCAAGTTCCCGCAGTTCGCGCAGGTATTCCGGCTACTTTCGGTCGTGTGGACGTGGCCGCACGCATCGCACGCCAAGCCAGTGTACGTAGGTGCCAGCACCGGAAATCCATTCACGTACTCGCGCTGCATGCCCAGCGCCTTGTCCAGCGCTCTCCAGAGCGGCTCAGCCAGTGAACACGCCACTTCTCCGCCCAAAAGTTGCCGCGCTGTAACATTCGGCCCGTAACATTTCGCATTCAGTGACTTGCGCGTACAAATGACGGCTCCGCTGAGTCCAATGCCCCCGTAAAGGCCCTTACTGTGGCTATACGAGTAGTTTGGCGCAACGCCACCTGCCCCGACATTGAGGGAAGCGCTAGCGGCGCGACCAATAGGCCCGACAGCTATGTCAAGTTCAGACCCCAACTGTACTTGGCCATTACGTGTGAAGACCTTGACGGCGCTCCTGGAGTTTAACACGATCATGTAGTTGACAACTTCACCGCCCGCCATCATACCAAAGCCAAAACCTCCCGAAGTTAAGAAGCTGGGCGCTGACCATCCTCCGGTCGTACGAGAGATGGCAAAACCTGTTCCAATCTTGCCTGAGAGCAAGAAACCCACCTTGTACATGGTCACAAACACCAGGCCATAGGCTTCCGCCAATAACTCATGCGGAATTGACTGGTCCTTTAGCAGCTTCGGGGACAGGAACGTCTCGACTACTTGGGCTGCATTGGCCATCTCCTTCTTGAGCTTGGTTGTAGCCTTCACGCTCATAGTATGACCATTACCTGGCAGATGTGAGCGCATAGACTCCATGACCGCCAGCGAGTTGGAGCGATCTCGAAGCGCCGCTGCTGCCTCTTCCGCTGTCAACTGCGGTGCGGTCTCTGACGTCGCCCGACTCAGCAGCGCGTCGTCCGCTGTGTCAGCTCTGGCCAGCGTCGCTCGCTGCTGATCCTCCTGCTGCTTCTGCTGCAGGATCAGAGCCTTGGTGGATGGCTTGCGCATGGGGTGCGGAGGCTTCTGCGACGAGTGGCTGCTGCCGATGGAAGACGACGAACTGAAGGAGCTCGGTTTGGACCGCGGCAGACCGTGGCTCTGGCTCTGTGGTGCGGCGTACGAGGAGTTC